AAATCTGAAGCTCCTATGTTTAATAGGTTTTGAGCATTGACCATTTTGAAAGGCAAGATACACCTTTTTCAGATAAATAGGGGGTCGGGGTGGGGGGGCACTGATTAGTGGGCCTGATGGATAGAGCTTCATCAGAGCTAAACAACAAAAGAAATCTGAAGCTCCTATGTTTAATAGGTTTTGAGCATTGACCATTTTGTATGTCCAGATACCCCTTTTTCAGATAAATAGGGGGTCGGGGTGGGGGGGCACTGATTAGTGGGCCTGATGGATAGAGCTTCATCAGAGCTAAACAACCAACAAAAATCGGAAGCTCCTATGTTTAAAATTCTTGAGCTATATCCATTTTTGTATGTCCAGATACCCCTTTTTCAGATAAATTGGGGCGGGGGGCACTGATTGGTGGGCCTGATGGATAGAGCCTCATCAGAGCTAAACAACCAACAAAAATCGGAAGCTCCTATGTTTAAAATTCTTGAGCTATATCCATTTTTGTATGTCCAGATACCCCTTTTTCAGATAAATTGGGGGAGGGGAGCTGATGGATAGCCCCTCATCAGAGCTAAACAACCAATAAAAATCTGAAGCTCCTGTGTTTAATGGTTTTTGAGCTATAGAAATTTTTGTATGTCCAGATACCCCTTTTTCAGATAAATTGGGGGTCCGGGGGATGGTGGGGGGGCACTGGTTAGTGGGCCTGATGGATAGAGCTTCATCAGAGCTAAACAACAAAAGAAATCTGAAGCTCCTATGTTGAACAGTTTCTGAGTTATAAGTGTTTTTGCATGTCCAGACACCCCCTCTTTGAAAGGAGCCCCCTCCTCAAATATGGGGTCTATCGTAAAACCGTTGGCTGGCGCAGTGTAAGTCGGACTCAACTACAGTCCTGCCTAATTTCATGTTGATTCGTGCAGCCGTTTTTGTGCTACAGTTGACCAAAAATCACTGGAAAAAAAAAACCAGTATGAAAACAATACGGCTCCAGCTTACGCTTGGCGTGCGGGGGTCATAATAAACAGGCCGCTCAAAATACAGCTCGTGATGCAACCAAGCTCCTATAGACAACAACACATGAAACGTGATCTAGGTAAACACATCCTGCACACGCCGTGCAGCCAGCGGGAATTATTAGACGCTCTAATGGGTCCTGAACTATTCAAACTGCAGACTTGACTCATGTTTGCAGCTCAAACTGGATAATGGAGCGATGGCTGGAGGGGCCACACAGCTCAAGTCCCACTCAGGGTTTCAGTGTCCATCAGTTCACCATCATGTTAAAATCACTTCAACTTCTGGCTTGTTCAAATTCTAAAAGATTAAGGAAAAAGCTTTATTCTTTTTCTCTTTTTTTGTGTTGTGTTCAGGTCATTTCTTTGCTTCAAGCAAAGTTGTCTGCAGATAAACTCTGCACATCCATCATCTATAAACATTTTTTCTATAGCTTGGATCAAGCTCCTCTCTTGTGGAACCAACTTCCAGTTTCTGTCTGTGAGGCTGACACTCTGTCTACTTTTAAGATTAGACTGAAGACTTTCCTTTTTGATAAATCCTAGTTAGACTTGGGTTTTCTGAATTATTCTTCATTTCTGCTGCTGTAGACTTAGACTGCTGGAGCACAAACTGAGCACATTTCTTTACTCTGTTTTCTTCAGTTTCTCTTCCCTACATGTTTATTATAATTATTTCTATGAACAACATGTTTTTTTTTCTTTGTCTCTTCCAGAAGAAGGTGCACCTGGACCAGTCCTGGACCAGTTCTTCTGTGTTTATCGGTGTCTCTTTCCTGTCCTCCAACCAGCCGGTCGAGGCAGATGGTCTCCTGTCCTGAGCCTGGTTCTGCTGGAGGTTTCTTCCTGATTAGCAGGGAGTTTTTCCTCTCCACCGTTTGCTCAGGATGGGAGACTGTGATGAAGTGATTCAACACAATCTGCTGGTTTCTTCTTTAGATTATTCTTTTTATGTACAGTGCCCTGAGACAACGTATGTTGTGACTTGGCGCTATATAAATAAACTGAATTGAACTGAATTGAATTGGACATAAAGAGGCCAGGGGGCAATGTGGGGCAAAGTCAATAAATCAGACAACCGTTGCTGGTTCACATCTAAGTTTGCATACGTTTCAGAGCTGTCAATCAACTCGAGCAACACGTATGGCATCCAGCTGCAGCAGAACATGTAGTTGTGAATTTGGACTGACTCTGGTTTAGATTTGAAAGTAGTTTCCAGCTCAAAACATCTGTAAAATGTGTTTCTATTTCTTGCTTTGATGGAATAATATAGTGAGAGCAACAACAGAGCTCTAATCGACATTTTGAGCGAAGAAACTGTTAAAACATATTGTCTAACACAGTGGTTCCCAAACTTTTTTCTTTGGACCCACAAAATATCCATGGCATAAACATGTGACCCCAAATATTACTGGTCTGAGTACATGAACTTTGTTAATAACCCTAAAAACACAGGCTTTTTGACAATCTAAATAGCTTATACACAAATATAAATACTTATTTATACTTATTTTGTGTTTTTGTAATAATTATAGGGAAAATATTACATCAGCAATTATTTTATGACCCTTTAAATTGATTTCTGGAGATTATCCAAGGTGCTTCATGACCCATAATTGGGTCCCAAGCCACACTTTGAGAACCAAAGTGCAGTGGTTCCCAAACTTTTCAGCTTTTAACCCACAAAATAACTGTAGCAGAGACCTGTGCCCACAACTATTTTTGGATGATAAACATTTGTATAAGGTCAACTAAACATGGGGACAGTAACAATATTTTTATACTACATTTATCCATTTTAAATACACTAACCTCACTCCTTTGTAACAACTAAGGCAAAAATGTAATTAATTCAGAAAATCTTTTCAGGACCCCACCCTGATGTTTCGGGACCCCACTTTGGGTCCCGACCCCAACTTTGGGAAACACTGGTCTAACATATTGTCTAATAATCGCTATAAGATTCAACTGACTTAACGTAAAGTAAACAACTCAGGACAGCTAAAAAATCAAAATAAATGGTTTCACTTTCTATAGATGCGAGGATCAGTCATGTTGAAACGATGACGCGTGCTGACGTATGGTCGTGTTGCAACGACTAGCCGACTCGGAATTACGACATTAGGGGCAGTTCCAGTTGATACTTCCGACTTGGAAGTCAGAAATTCCAACCTCCGAGTACAACTGGAATGTGACATTAGTGTAAATGACGTGAACGTCAGCTGCATGCTGACGTTCAACAGGATCAAATCAGCAGCAGACAGAAGAGCTGCTCTGGTCCTGCTCCACAGCGCTGCCTCGTGAACAAACACGCCCACCAAGTTCTGACCAATCACACGCTCCGAGTCGCAAGGTTTGCATCGTGGAGTTCTGACTGGAGGAAACGTACACGAGGGCAGACGGAAGCTACGCAATTTTTTTGTCACTCAGCAGGGAGACCAAGACGTGCGACTTAAAACATAAACCAGCCTTCAATCTGAAGACTCAAGTTCTGCATTTATTTGTGTTATTTTTTAATCTTTCTATAGTTTAAGTCAGAGTATAAATTTAGTGATGCAAACATTTCTGATCCAATACTTACTTTGCCTTTTTTTAAATAAAACAAAAATATCAGGGTTTGTAAATCATAAATCGAAGTATTAAGTTCGTCAAGAAGGTAGAAAGACTCAAAAGGAAAAATTCAAGAAAAAATTACGGCAGACAACTTTGTGTAAAGATCAAATATTGTTTCATTGTACACAAACCTGTGCATTGTATCACTGTTGTATGAATACAAGATTGATTTATGTTGTTTCAGTAGATCTGGTAAAGGAAGGGGTGGGATGGGAGAGATTTCGGGTGTTTGTGTTTTTGTTAGTTTTTTTTTGTGGTTTATGTTAAAAATAATTTAAAAAAGACTTTGATCAAAAAAAAAATAAAGGAAAAATTCAGCTAAAAAGGAGAACAGAAACATTTGCTTTGGACAAATAGAAAAGTCTTAAAGATTCTCGTCGTTACAGAGAGAAAAGCAGGCCGGACCAGCTTTGGAGCGTTTTATAAAAAGTGAAAAATAAACTGCTGGAACAGCCTGAAGTAAAAAGTAACATCAACACAAGCGACACTTTGGGTACACACATCCAGCAGATGTCTAAATCCCAACCTGCTCGGCAAGAATCCTGATCTTTGGCACCGAAAAACACGAGTCAGTGATCCGCCCCAAATCTGTTTTCAACAGGAGTGATTAAAAAGGTGGAGAGAAGGAAAGTAGTGGTGATCAAAACAAGCAGCTCTTTGTGCGTTTGCCAAACTGGTAAGGAGCACACACACACAAACAACCGCAAAATCTCCAAGTGTAAACAGTCAATCAAACATATCGACGCAGAGAACAGGGAAGCTCACACACCCACATGTGAAGGAACCACACACACACACACACATTTCTCCACAAAGTGACAGATGCAAAAAAAAATCACTCACATCAAGGAGCGAGTCAAAACAAGCTGCAAAGCCAAAGGGGAAACCTATCAACGCACACACACACACTCAAACACACACATACACAAACGTCAGGACTCAAAGATCTCTGTAATTAACTGGACGTCCTTCTTGTGTCCTTTAAGACATTTTATCCTGCATCTAAAAGACGTCTTTGGTCGTCTTAAAGAACTCAAAACATAAATGTTTAGCTTCCTTCTGTTCGTAAACATCATGACTGACAGCTCGCATTAAAGTGAAAACAGGCCTGGACGTGGCAGGAGGAGGGGTGACGGGAGGCAATTAGAGACATTTCTTTAGATGATAATAGCTGTGTACAAGCATCACAGCTCGTGAAACTATTCAAAGCAAGTGAGAAGATGAGTGTAGCAATAAAAAAAATAACAAATAAAAAATGGTTTGGATGGTGTGCGAGCCCACAGTATGCTCCTGAGGGCAGCGAGGGGGAGGAAGGAGTGGCAGCTTGTCTTACTCTGGCATGTTGGGATGTCGCAGTACTTCCAGTAGATCCCGTCTTCGTGATCGGGGATGTAGCACCACGGCTGAACGTCCCCGTCGGGATTCCTGGAAAACAAACTCTGGTTAGGAGATCTGTCAAATTAAAAGGAAAAAAAACGGAAGAAATGTTTGATTTTGTTTGTTTTATTCCTCATCAAACATGTAACCTTAAAAGTTCCTTAAAACTCAAAAATACAAAACGTTTATCCTTGCTTCAACTAAACCTATTTTCAGTCACTTTGGCTATTTGTAGGCAAACAAGTTTGCATCCAGTTACAGATTTTATTTTGTTTTTTGTTTTATTTAAAACCCCTTAACAATCGTTGTACCGGTGGGCAAAAACAGGGCCGTTTCTACGTTTAAACCAGGGGTGCCCAAACATTTTCCCCAAGAGGGCCAAAATGAGAATCTATACGGGGCTGTGAGCCAAATGCAGTATTATAATATATGCAATACAAATACTTCTTTTGGTAAAGTCCATTATTTTTAACGAATAAGCTAGCAGCCAGTGTGGTGGCCTGCCTTTGTTTTAGTCTGGGCACTTGTAGAAAGCCTGCCATACGCTCAAAAAGCAAAGGCTCATGGGAAATTTCATGAATTGATAAAATAATGGCACGGTGGCTCAGTTGGTAGAGCTGATTACTCTCCAGGCTGGGATTTGATCCAGCAACCTTTCTGGGTAGAGTTTGCATGTTCTCTCAGTGCATGCATGGGTTTTCTCCGGATACTCCGGCTTCCTCCCACAGACCAAAACCATGACTGTCAGGTTAACTGATAACTCTAAATTGTTCCTAGGTGTGAGTGAGACAGTAAATGGTTGTTTATCTCGTTTGTCTCTATGTGTGTCCCTGTGATGGACTTGAGACCTGTCCAGGGTGTACCCCGCCCCTCGCACTGTGACTGCTGGATATGGACACCAGTGACCCTGAAAGGAAGAAACAGGTACAGTGGATAATGGATGGATAAAATAATGTTTTTTCTGGCCTTACAAAGTGTGCAAATCTACATGTGTGGTTAAATCTAATCTAAATATATCTTGTTGTTACTTGTATTTCATGTTTCATGTTTAATCTTAATATATCAAAGATAAAGTCAGCACCATGAGTGAAAACTATGCATCACAGCTATTTTTATAGTCATTGGGCCAATGGATGAAATGACTAAGTGTAAATACTGTGTCTACATAGGACGACAGGTTACAGCCTAGTAACTAGGTCAACTGCTGGTGGGCCAAATCAAATGGTTTGGTGGGCCAAATTTGGCCCGCAGGCCCCAATTTGGGCTCCTCTGCTTTTAACGTTTCCAGACGGGGCGTTTTTATTTTTTATTTGTTTTTTTGTTTGAAAACCAGTGTGTCAGATGACTTCCTCCAGTTCTTACTTTAAACGTGACACCCTTACAAAAAAATCCAAAAAAGAAAAAAAAATTTTAAAGGTTTTTAAGAAAATTCAGGGGTGACTGGAGACATACAGCATCCTGCTCTTAAATCCTGCTGTTTATTACCTCCGCTAAGAGTGAGGTAATGTTTTTGGTCGCGTATGTCTGTCTGTCTGTCGTTCTGTCTGTGGACAACATTACTCAAAAACTTGTGGATGGATCGTCATGACATTTTTACCACATGTGGGTACTGGGCCAAGGAACATATCTTTAAATTTTGGTGATGTTCCGGATCACGATGCGGATACAGGAATTTTTTTTTTCTTTTAACACTCTGAGATCTGCAAAGCTGTGATGCTTTCACAGGGCTTCTGTAAAAAAACAGTGAGCTGGATTGGACAGCACGGACTTCAAACTTTATAAAAGTAATGTTAAAACCAGATTTAATGATGAATAATTTTTGCCATAATATGCACATTTACAGAACATTTTGTGACCAGGAAGTGCGTGACTGCACCATGAATCCTATTTTTCCCATTTCCTCAAACACACCACATTTCCAAAACAACCAATCAAAACAGTTAGTCTCTACTAGGCTTGTAAACAGAGAGCTGCCGGGCCTCAAAGTTTGGAGACGGGGGGAGCCAGGAAGCACTTTATAAAGAGAGACAAACCATTACAAACTCATACAAGGAGATAAAACAGATGTTTTACATGGTGAAATGTGACTGATGAAAACTTAGGAGCTTAATCCCACACCAGTTTGATGATGAGTCTTTTTTTTCCACATTAGACTCCACAGGGAAGAAATCCCATGCATACTGCCTGCTTAAATGTTCACAACGTTAGGACTTATCCAGCAAATGTGTTTCCATCTCTGCTTTTGCGCATTAACTCTTACAGGATGGGGGAAATGGTCTTGGAGGAGGTTTGAACTCTCCAAGTGCTTCTAGTTTATATCATTCATTTGGAGTCTACTGTATATAAAGTGGAACTTTATTCCTCCTTATTGTGGACCCTCGTTCACCTATTTTCAGAGGTGTGTCTCAGATCAACTCATTTTGAGGCTGACTCTTTAAATGGCAAGAATGGTCAGAAACACGGCGAAAAGGTGTTAGAAAGACAAATAGTCTTGCGGGTATGATTTATAAAGTCATTTATTGATGGGCAGACATGAAACAGAAAGCAATCACGAAGTCTGTTAGATGTGGGCCCCCTGTCATAGGCCGGGCAAGCAATGTTATACTGTCAGCTATCATYATGTGATAAYGAACAACCAATCAGRAWCYGCCTCGTTCTGGTACATGAAGTAGGTCAGCTTGATGATGACGTCCAGGGATATCACAAGATATGAACAATTGGACAGTGTCAAGGTGATACATAATAAGTATTCCACAACAGCACCCAACTCCCAGAGCGGTCTATTCTAACATGACAGCGGGGTTTATGGCTTTATAGCCGCGCAGAAACTTTGTACAAATGAATTAAAAGATGTCAACAACAGAAGACTTGTCTGTCCAGCCTTACATGTTGGAGCCAGAGTCTGACCCAGAACCACAGTCTGACAACCAGAGGAGAATGAAGACCACCAAACTAGTTGGTAAATCCAGACTTTATTTAGAAGTTCTGTCTCAAAAACAAAATGACGTAACCATTCAGAAAATGTCAAATAGAGAAAACTGAACTTGTTGAAAAATATGACCCAAACAGAATATAATTTTGCAGCACCTCAGACTAAATTCAACTTTTCTGCACTAAAAGACTCCAAGTCTACAACAAAATGTATTTAACATGGAGAAACGTGGATTTTGCAGATTCGTCCCTTTTAAGAACGCATGCTTAGAGAAGAATATTGTGCAGATTTAGTTTATTACTGCACGATTTTATTATCTTGTCATGACTTTGCACCGAGTACCTAAAAGTTTTTTGCACTGTCTGGTGACTTCAGACCAAACATCAACTCAAACTTTATGATCCAGATTAACTGCTAATGGAACTGGGTTATATTAGAGCTGCAGCCTTTATTCTTGGGATAAAAATAAGTCCTGAAAGTTCGGGTGTAAAACTGCAGAACTGAGTATGTGCAAGATTATGCTGTTTCTTTTCTAATTCTATGAAAGCTAGTAAAAATAAATAAAAATGTTGTTGCCCAATGAAAAGTGGTGGATGTGTGTTGGAGAGGGGATTAAAGCTAAATGGGGGGTTGAACCGATAAATGGTGAAACATTAGGGTAAAAACATCACATTGACCTGGAATCTCCTTTGCAAAGAGCTTAATAAGCTGCACTGTTTAACTGCAGCTTGATTCAGACCCGTCAATCATTATGATTAGCACCCTTGTTAGCTTAGCCCACTTCTCTTCACTCTGGAGGCTTAACATGCCAGTCAAGGGGAAGATCCAAAAAGTCTGCTGGAGGTCAGTGGGAAGGCTCTTTGTTCTGGGCCAGACAGACCCAGACCTAAAAAAAAAGATAAGTGATGGGGCCGTGCTTTTGTCTGAGGCCGCAGCCTCTTTTGAACCTCATCAAGGCACTTTTAACCCATCATAATAAGGCTGAAAGGCCCCTCGGTGCTTCTCCTTTTCACGTACAAAAGCAATGAGGAGCGGGCCAGCAGACAGAAATATCTGAAAGCTTTGTGCGGGCTCAATATCTCCAGGGAAATCATTCAGCTTTGCAAATCAGGACCCTTGTGGAAACTTCTAAATTGTGGGGAAATTAAGTAAACGCAGGCGTAGCGAGCGGTGGAAGCTCATGCTAATGCCGTTTCAGCTCTTTAAGCTCTATTTCAGGATTCAGCATGAGCTGTAAAAACACACTACTGGTTGACTAAAAAAGGCTTCTTAAGTGACTTTTTTTTTTCCAACCCTGACTGGGATTCCCAGAAACCTTTTTGTCTTTTGACACACCTCATTGTAGCATCTTGAAAAGGCCTTGCAGCGATGTCCGTATCCTGTTTCGCTTTTTGTTTGCGACGACGTGAAGGGCGTTTCCAATTCTTTTCTTTTCCGATAAAAAAAAAAACACCATCCGGAGTATCTTTCCTTCTTTTCAGGCTCAGGATGAAGTGCTGACAAAGATATCATTGTGTAAATGGGTAGATGAATCTGATTAAAGCTTCTGCTCTCAACATATATGTCCTGTTGAACAATGGGAATCCAGCACGTAAAGAAAAAGGTACATCTCTCAACGGTGAATCTTTAAATGTTCCCAGCTCGATATCACGAATCTAGATCTAGTTTTTGCTCCACCCTGACAGGAAGAAGACGCCTGTTTGTTTGGCCTGAAGCTGCTGTTTAAAAAAAGACAAAAACTGCACCAAAAATCATCAAAACACTACAGCTAAGTCCGCATTTCCTTTTTATTGTGTGTCAACGAATCATAGTTTTAACAGGAATCACAAAAACATGTCTGATTGTGTGTCTTTAATCACCCCCCGAGGAGGCAGACATAAATTACAACATTAGCTTTAAACAAACCCTCAGGAGACCACCTGCCCGACCAACGCAAACCGTTTCATGAGGATGAAGGTTCTATTTTCACACCATTTGTTTGTAACTTTATTTTTTTAAATCTACTTCTGCATATTTTGTTCATTCATATGCATTCATGTTTTCTAGCAACATCAAAAGAAACGTCAGCTCATTCAGAAGATGGTCGTTATGATGCGAGGTTTATGATTTTTTAAAA